AGTGGCATTTTTGCAAATAAACATCCCTAAATGATATTTTTGTAAATATGCACATAAAAATAGCATTTTTGCAATTTTTCTATTATTCAACACCAAATATCTGTACATAACAAAATTTTGAAGAAATATACTTATTTTCAAACCATCAAGATAAAAGGGATCGAAAATCATTTCATATTTCGTTCAATATATATAAGAGAACAATTAAATTTTTTTGGTCAAACAATTAATTTTTTTTCATACCAAATTACTAAATAAATCAAAATCTTCGTCACTAAATCAAATAAAATTGTATAACAAAAACTCGCGCAACGCGCGAGTAATTTCTAGTTACCTATAAATGGTTCTTTTTGGTTATCGAGCCTCCTATATAACAAAATCTACTAATACTAAGATTGAAATTTGATCGTATGTGAATGTTGTGCATCTTATGTAAATTTGTTCATACACTATTATTAGAATTCTATCACTTGATTTTCAAAATATAATTTTAAATATCGATCATTATAAACATATATTTTCATTACAAAAACGACATTTCTCCGATCATAGTTGAGCCATGAACCATTGCCGGTTGGTGGAAGGATCATTACCACCGACGACTTGTCTCCTATATTTCTCCGACCCACACCACTCAGTTAAACAATGGACTTTTCTTCTTTTTGTTATATAATTTTATATATATCGTATTCGAATTTGAGGGGTATAGATAAGATTAATGCTTCTTCTTTATTAGTCATCCCTATTCCCTCTCTTTAAAGCTCCATGACCCACACACACTCTTCTCTCGTTTCTCTTTACTTTCTTCGTTTTTAAAATTTTTCAACTTTTGCTTTTGTCATGTTTTACTCGACCTAATGCCTTTTTCTTTTATAACCGAAACATTTCAATTAATATATCATCATGTTTCAAGATTATAAATTTAGAAGTAATCAAAAGTTCAAAACTCTAGCGTTGTAGAAAAAAAAACAAATCCAAATCATATATAGTGCCCGAGTTTTTAACGAATATATTTTCGACCAATAACTTGCTAAATAATTAAAGGAAAAGAACAACTAGCTTAGCAAGATGCGATTACGAAATAATTTCAATTTGTCCTTTTCATTTTTTTTATTCCATCCTTTCTTATCAAGTAAAATAAAATTGGAAGGACCATGAAAGGAAAATTCAGTAAATGCTAATAGGACTAAACATCAAAACCTTTTTTTGACGTGTGATTCACGTAATCAACCTCAGCCGTTCGATTTTTCTTTGCTACATTAGTTAAAGATCTTGATCAAATTACCAATTTAAAGATAATGATTAATGGCTACACTGTATTTTTTTTCTTTTTAATGGAAACATCAACATCTCCTATCAACCACACGTACCACGTGTGCCGATCGTCGTGCAACTTGAAGATGTAGGTAATAGTAATACAGTAGACACGCACGCAGCGAATTAAACAAAAAAAAGAAATCCAACATTGTTGGTGACATAACAACATCTCACAGACCAATCGTCGCTCTCTTTATTGCTTTTCGCATTTTCTACTCTTCTTTCCTCATTGGGGTTAGTAACGTAACAAACATCACTGTCAGTAACTCTATCAAAAAAAAAAAAATCTAACATTAAACACGACGTCGTTTACTACACAC